TTTGTTCATCAAAATATTCACTGAGGTATTATTAATGTGCAGAAATTTTTTAAAGAGAAATCCATGTCGTGATTGATATTACTTAAAATTCAGATAAAGTGTGGTTCAAGTTTGAGTTAGTCCTCTGTATCATGCTGAATAGTGTGTGAATAAAGTGTTTTTTACCAGTGTCTTCTTAAATAAATTAGTCAATTGAAATGATATAGTCTTCAATTACTAGTCTCTCATAGCCTTCAATTACTAGTTATCATTTCTTTCAGTTTTACCTCTGACTTTTTCTGTTTTCATATGTTAGAAAAGTGTCATTGATGTATTCATTTTCATTTGCGTAGCTTCAAATTCATTATATGAGAGTCGGTCAGAAATATTCATCTAAATTTTGGGATGTTGGAAGAATATTGGTTGGTTTAAGGAAATAGCGCCTAATTTTTTTACATTACGCGCGAACTAATATTTAATGTTCCTCATAATTTTTTAGCTTGAGTTATCCGCGCGCGATGCAAACAACACTGTTGTTGCTCTTGGGACGACTTGCATGAAAGCAGGTTCGTGATTATGCTTCAGAGTATGAAGTGTGAACATATGAAAGATGGCGTCAATTTTACTGAAAAAAGCAGTGTTCAATGGTTTTGCAGTGATGGTGTATTTTAGTTTTCTCAGCAGAAGAAATGCAGGCGCTTTACAAGAAGTCATTAGATTTCGTAGGAACAGTTATGCATTCGTTTCGCTTCCTTTATCGTTGCAAGCCAAAGATTTATTATGACGATATACAGGTATTCAGATTTATGACTGGATCTTTATAAGTGTGCTTCAACTTTTTTTACATTATTTGGTTTCGACTGATGTCTGACATTACTTTCACGATAGTGTTTTGTGGTTATATATCTTTGTCTTATAGTGATAATTGGTATACCTAACAGCAGAGCTTTTAGTTAGCTCATCTAAGTTAGATGAGTCACAAATGGAGTACAATTTTTTGATAAATTCATCTTATATGCGGAATTTTTAATAGTTTCACCGTGGTGGAATTATGGAAAAATATATGAAAGATAATAATGGTCAGGCAGCGTCGTCAATTAATGGTGCTATAAGCGGTATGTTTATTTAATTTTCAGTGATAATAGTTACAGAAATATTTACTTTATGATTGAACACTTCATACACTTATAAGGGAATGCTATGGGCATGCACAACAAAAAGACTTAGTGTCCACTCTTGTGGTATGTTACAAGAATTTTTTCGAGGGCGAGGTTAAGTTGTCTCGCGGTTCTTTTACACTAAAAAGAAGTGTCCATCAATTCACAGCGGAAATGTTGTGTTTATTTGTTATGCCATAACGAAGAAATAATTATAGGTTTGTTTTTTTCCGCTCGGCTCTTGCCTGACGGAAGTTTGCCAACTCACTCGCCTTTTGGGAATGTTCGAATGTTAGTGCCGGCAATGACGCTGCTTGATCCAGCTCGTGTAAACATGTACTTTTGCGATTTCTACTGCAACTATATAACTCATTATGTTACAGTTGTAATCTGCGAAAAGCATTCAGATGTGAGTTATGTCGATGTCCGCTTATTGTTTTTGTGAGACACATCAGGTATTCGAATAAGATTTCATTTTTATTCATTTTCGTATAATCGTTTTCTGTAACTTTCATCAGTACGTTATAGAAGGTCTGCTATTTCAGACTGATATTTTTTGCATGCAGCGCTTGATTAAGTTGGCTCCGGATTCCAATCCATTTTTACGAATTGTATTCAGACCTCCAATGTTTGAGCCCGAATTTTGGGTAAATAAAAACGTTTGGGTAGAGATATATTATACAGAAAATGTGCCACTGAACTGGGGTCGATTTGATGCAATTACCGCAACCGGTGCAGGCACATCACGCGTAGGTGGCTTACCTCATAATAAGGTTTGTTTCTTATGAGGAAAGTTCTAGTGAAAGCTGAAGTAGCTCCAGTATTTTTTCTCATTTTATTGAAAGCATAGCTAGACAGCGGTTGAGTCTTCATAAATTTCGTTTAAAATCAGTATGTTGATCCACTTATATGAATTATTTCTAATTGTTTTCAATGAATACCGTTTTAGCAGTGTCAGATGTGCAATTTGTATCCACAGAAAAATAGTTCCACTGCCAAAATTGCCTCAACGAAGCTTAATTCAACATTTGAATTGCTTCTGCATTTGGAACGTAAAAGATTTGGTAATGAAAATATAAGTGAATCAGCTGATTTGATCGAGACAATCTGTTCCGTCATCGACTTTGTGGTTGAGCAGTGTTCGCAGGACACAGAGAATGAAAGCAATAAGCAGGTAAAAAGCGATAATCAATCCTTATAGATAAGAAACTAATTTTTTGGCACAAAACAGCTGTGGAAGTTACTGGGTATGACAAATGCCGGACACCTATCACTCAGTTATCATTATACAAATCTTAAGCATAAGATTTTAATTGGAGGTAGTGGCGAACTTAATGAAAAGAGAATAATTGTGAAAAAAAGTCATTCTGGAGTTTTTATCAGGGTTATTGTTAGTAAAAGGTTTGGTTAGTGATCAGTATTTTTGGGGTTTGCAGGAAAGCGAAGATGAAGGAAGAGGAAAAAGGAAATTAGAATCACCTGAAGAAATTATGCAACGTCTTGATGCGCAAGATTTGTGTGAGGAGATGCAAGATGTTAAAAAATGCCTAAAAGCATTCGTTGATAGTATGGACAATGGCATATTAAAGATTGAACGTTTGTTGAATGATGCAAGACAGTTTTCAATGCGCTCAACATTTTTGTCGCAAAAGTGTCTTGTACGATAGCTTCAGTTGTTATATTTATTTTAATTTAATTGTGGATCTCAGACAAATAATATATTAAAGAAGGAGTTAAAATGTGACTTAATAATGTGACTGGCTTGCATTAATCGACCATCTGAATGAGTGAATGAATGTCTATTCGAACTATTTTCTGTATTTTCTGTTTGTACTGGCCTATATATTGCTTCGGTCGAATGGCTTTAGCCGGAATATAATTTTGCGTTGGTAATTGAAACCGTTTGTTATGGTTCACCGTGCTTACAATGTTCATTTCCGTTTCTATGCACCTTCAATGTTATCACTTACCGATCTCACCACCAACTGATTTTTACTTGTCCTAGTTTTTGGGCAGCATTGTTCCAGTATCATTAGGCGATTAATATCCATTTAATGTCACTTTGCATGTTTCTGCACTTTCATAGGTTTTTGTTTCAAATTTTGATAAAAGTCTAATTAACGTTTGTCCATATTCTTCAGTCTGTTCAGATTGCAACCACTGAATTGATGGACCTGTTGTAGTCGAATTGAAGAGTATGCTGCACAAACATCGCCTTTTTAGTTTTATCTGAATTGGCTGACCGATGAGTTAGTTACCACAGATGAATGAAGGAAACGTATGGGGTTATACATTATCGGCGTTTTAAATGATTACCACTTTCTGTGCCTTTAGTGCTTCATATGAATTTCGCAATGTTAACGGCAGTACCTGCCAATTTTCCATAGATTAAGTCTGGCAACAAGAGTAGTCCACAAAATGCATTGTTTGTATTCTTCAGAAAGAGTGCTTTCATTCGGTTTATTTCATCTTCCGTTATTTTTTTTTTTGAAGCTAATCGTGGAATGGAATTTTTGGAATCAGGTAGTGATTCCTTTTTAATTTTGTATGTTTTTCTTCGTTTTCATGTATGTGATCGGTCTGACATTTTGCACATCTCTGAATATGTGTAGAGCTTAAGACAGGAAGAGGAAATCATAAAAGCTCAGTTTTTTTCTTGCATCTCTTACGCTAACATTAAGCTTAAATTTGAGATTGACTTGTATTAGTCGGGATCAGATGCTGCGTAGAAGTTGAATTTGAGCAGATCGCACTGCAGCAACCTACGAACTCTTAGGAAGTAAGACATAAGCTTACTATAAGATAAGAATACTCCAATTAAGGCAAGTAAAGGTCTTAAGTAAGGTATAGTAATCCTGGGTGTTGAGATTCGGAATTTTCGTCGATTTCCTACTCCTTGAAGCTGTTACCAAAAACTTATGGGTTGTTTTTCATCTGGCGGTCGCGTCATCTTCTATTTGTATATTATGTTTTTCACATTAATTATGTTTTTCTTTGACCTTATTGCTTTTGAATATATTTTACTAATAGATTCGGATGCTGTTTCTTGTTGCCTGTTTCTAAGTTGCCTTGGACAACATGTACCTCATTATCAATGTTTTCTGTTAACTACTGGTACGTAAAATGTTATTGAAATTGGCTCAAGTAAACAATGATGCCATGTGTTCACTGTGTTATTGGACAACTGACCTGATCTTATAGTACATATTGAAGTGGATTCAGATTTCTTCACTGTGTGATTTTCTTTCTGCAAGTTGTAAGCTAAGTCGTGGCTTAATTAGATAGTGTACTTTAGTTTTATGAGTAAGGTCTTTACACAGTTCTTTATTTCTTTTTTTTTCGTAGTAAGTGAACGTTCGGATGGAGAAGGAAGGACGTCTTCATATGAACTTTGGACAATTTATGTTCGGGATTCAAAGTAATAAAAAACGCTGAGATTTGCAGTTTCATATTGCATTCTGCTAGATGGCAGTAATATCAAAGATATTAAGGTTACTCATGTGATGTAATGGTAGTATGAGTAATTGTTATCTTTCATATTATATCTATTGCAATCAATTGAATTATTAATCCCTGTTTTGATCCATGCAGGTTTACGAAATAGAGTTTGGGATTTATTAAAGGAATCATTTCTTCGTGATCATGTGAAATCTTATCAGTGTAAGAAATTGATATTACTTCATTAAACGATTTTTATCTTTTGGACATGGTTGATTTGACATTGAAAATAGCCTTTTTTTAATCCACATAGTTTACTACTGAATCGTTATTTAACCGACATAGTTTACTACAAAATCGTTGTCTCTGTTTAGTAAGCAAATTACTGAATTTTCGTAGTAGAATATTGCAGGTAGTTTACTCTCTATGGGTTGTACAGATTTTATGGAATGGGTAATTGGAAATGGTGCCCAGCATTTTGGTGTCGATATCAAGGATTGTTCAGAGGGAGGTGGGAAGGGATTGTTTGCAACAACAGATTTTCGGGAGGATGAAACAATAATATGCATACCAGTCGAAATAATCATCACTGCTGGATTTGTTGCCGAAATACCGGATTACTGTGATGTTTTTAAAAGGTTCAAATTGACCTGTAAGCGGTGGTTACGGCAAAAATACGTTTCATAATATTTCTGAGAAAAGACGATAAGTAGTGAAACTCCCACGGAACTCCAGCTCTAATTCAGTCTAAAATTTCATGGAATTCTAATCTGATCGCTTTGGAGTTGATAATAAATTAAAGCATTAGAAAATCAGATGTATGACGGAAAATATGTTCAAAGATAAAGTCCTAAAATGCCAGTTTTTTTAAAAAAAAGCGATGGCATTTACTCACGAGTACTTTTTTCAATGGTCCTTATGATAAACGAACTATATTTAACTAATAAATATATGGTAAAAAGAAGGCTAGTAACTTTGTCATTCCAACTCAAATATTGTTTACGTATTTTAGATACCGTTTAAAACCATTCGAAGCACTGGTATATTTCTTCTTAGTAGAGAAAGATCGGAACTCGAAATGGACTCCCTATTTGAAAATGCTTCCGAAATCGTTCTCAACACCGGCCATTCTACATCCAAGTTTGAAACCGGAAGATTTTCCATATTGCTTAAGAAAGCAGTGGTATGTGCAGAAGAATGAATTAAATATGATGTATGAAAAGGTACACTTTCATTATTAGATATGTAATATTTTTTACCTTTAAAAAGAAGAACCTTTCTTTTCTTTTTAATGGGTAAAGGATTTCCTTATTATTTATATCCATCCATAGGACAGGGTTAGAATTTCTTTGAGATCGCGTGCAGCTCAAACCCAAGCTAGTGGAAGGAACTATAGATGAACTCTTGCAGTATAATTGTTTTCATTCCAGTTTGTGACGATATTAACAGACAGTACGACCTGGGAGAATTTTTTGTGGGCTTGGCATATTGTAAATACTAGATGCATATATTGTAATAATAAGCCTCATCCATTGATTGACAATATTGAAGGCGATTCGCTTGCAATTGTACCTCTTATCGACATGCTGAATCATAGCAACGATAATCAGGTATAACATCTACTTCGTCAGTTAATATATCGCTGTGGTTGAACAGATCATTTGTGTTGATCTCATAATTGGTTTCAATTAATGAATAAATAATTTCCAAATTCCTTCAAAAAATAGTTTAGAGAAATCGATTTTCCGAAGTAATATTTTAGACTATAATATTTTGTCATTCAGTGTTGCGCAATTTGGGATAGCACATTGAATTTATATAAAGTAGTCGGTACTCGATTCATCCGTAAAGGGGAACAAATATTCATCTGTTATGGTAGTCATACAAATGGATCATTGTGGATTGAATATGGTTTTCATCTGAAGAATAATATCTGCAACAAAGTTGAAATCTCGCTTGGCTAGTTTGATTTTGAATATTACTGATAACAATGATAATCTTTCAACTTTTCTTTCACCATCTTGTTTGGAGAGTAACAAGTTTTAGTTGAAATATCGGATCTTGGTTGCGAATACTCTAAACAGAATTAAAAAGCTAAAGATAAAGTATTTAGCGGCAGGATGGAAAATGTCTTTGCAGAGTGAATCATTTATATGGACACAAAACATTGACTTTTGATAGAAGGGATCATTTTGAGTTTTGGTCTTTTAAGAAAAGTCAATAAATAAAAAAAAGAGCAGGATACATTGCTCAGCTTATTATCAGTTCAGTAAAGTAAACTTTAGAAGATTTTATGCGATTTGCGAATGCTGCTGGGATCAGTTTCTCAGACTTACATAAAAAAGTAGTTCTTCAAGCAAATTTCCCATGGTAATTTTTCTGTGTTTCGTTTCCCTTTTTTTTGTTTATCGAACTCTATAGCATTATGTAGACACATATCTTTAGCTTATAACTTACAGGTTTAATGCACCATCGAATTTTTAAAAAAATTTTTTATAAAGAATTCGTATTTTTTCTGTCAGCGATGTCTGCCATCATTCTGATAGTGATATAGTCTGAACCTAAACAAATCCAAATTTTTCGGTACACCCCCGTACACCATTCAAAGTAATTGTTCCTCAAAATCGCGGATAGAGTATTCAATAGTTACTACTAAACGAGCGAAACCTGAAATAAATTTAGTAATTAACTGAATAACATACTATTCAAGCGTTTATCGACTGCCAAATCTTACTAATAATTTTTAGTTCTATATATGCCAGTGATGTGAAGCCAAATTTTGGATTTAAAGCAAATCTGGCATTGCTGAAAATGAGTTGCTCAAAACTGTAAGTTTCAATATAATTTTTAGCTTTGGTGCTGTTTAATCCTCTAAGTCATCTTTTAGTGTTCCTTACCTAAGATCTGCTTTTAACCTTCCCAGATGTGAGTTCCCAACTTATTAGTTTTCTCAGACACCAAATTTGGAATTTAATGGACTTTGAGTCTTATTCTGTTCCCTGACTAACAAACAACAGAATGTAAAAACCACTTTTGTAAAAAAAATCTGTGGTGGAATTTTAAAAATGTTTCAGGAAGCACTGGGCGAAAGTGATCTATGAGGAAACGAAGACTGTAGCAGATAATGATGTTCTAATGATTGTGCGATTGCTACACGATGAAATGATCGAAAATGAGAAGAAATCACCTCGAGAAACGCAGTGGTTATGGAAAGAGGATACTGCGTTACTCCACACTTTGCTCAACAGTGATTAGGTATGATTTAGTATGACTTAGATTGATGTTCTCTGCTGTGTGGTTTGTAGCTTCTTAATAAATTACTTCTAAAGATTCACTGCGACTCCTATATTACTAGCATTCTTAATATCTTGAAAGGCGCTTATTTTTCACTTGCAATTTTTTTCTTGACCTGTGCAACAGATCATCATGGAAAAGTATCCTAATTAATGGTTTATATCTTAAGACATTGTAGTGTCCCAGTTTTTTGCGAGGTAACAGTAATTTATCTCGCACAGCAGCACTGTAAAACGCGTCTATCTACTTCTGAATCGTTAGCATGTTTTCAATCGCAAGACAATTTACTTCCAGCGTAGTTCGACCTTCCGGAGTAACCACCATGAAGTTGAAGTGACCACCCTGTCCGCGAAAGACCTGTGATGAAGTAAAGAACCCGGGATGGCCAAGTCCTAACTTTATAACCAAACAATTACAGTGAGTTGCGTCAAGCCTCAAATCTTCAAAGACCAAATCCATAACCGAGGCGAATTGTAGGGTTTAAAACTGCTGCATTTAATCATAAACCAAGGCACTTCTAACTCCTCAGCTTTGGCTCGTGAGAGTTGTAAGGGAAGGGATGAAAGCAATAGAATTAAAATTTGATGCGAATTATTAATTTCTATACATTATTTACTACTACAGATCATGGAAGCGAAAAATTCCAAACATTTATCAATAGCTTGCATCAACAATATAAAAACAAAAACTGTTAACACGTACTAAGCAAGACCAACCAGGACATAAAAACTGAAAACTTTGCGCCTTTGACTAAACAAAAATACGCAAAATAATCTTGTTTATTAACTTGACGTCTATCTCGCAAAAGCACGCCCATCGTAAGAAGCATCTGGACTAAAGCTACATTTTAGATTATGAAATCATAAATCAAAATACTTCCCGATACAGTAGGAAGAATCTCAGAAATTCATAGATTTCTTGTATCGAGGAAGAAAATTCAGGAAGTCATCCTTTTTGCCTTCTTATAAAACTTGCAAGGTTTCATCTCCATCCCCTAGTAACTTCTTGCATCGTATAATGAAACGAGAAACCAATGTAAAATCGAACTGAGTAACTAACTATAAAGCGAAATTTTTTCGGCTACTATCAGAAAACATGTTGCAACACTCCTACTGATTTTGAAACACATCGCTGGGCAGCTAAAATCCATGATTAATTTACCACGACAAATTACGAACAATTGCGAGCGGTCCCACAAAAAAAATGAAAACAGCCACAAACAACGAATTTTCTATTGCACGGTTTAAAAAATTACCGTAATGATACATGATTTTCTATCGTAAATCCGCAATGGTCATTCATTCCTCTCCTCTCGTACTACAATCACAATAAAGTAAAATAACCAATATTATGCAGATCTCATATCACCAAGCAAAAAGCACAGCATTCGATCAATTATAAAACAGGCCAGCAAGTCAGCCGCTATGCAACTTAATAAGGCTTTTCGATACTGAAATACCATTTGTTAATTGCCAATAGAAAACGATGTTAAAATTTGACAGAAGTTCAACGTTTATAACAATAGTCTTCTTTGCTAAATGTCTTATTTCTGAAAGATACCAAAATACCAGTGTGTAGAAAATGGTACCGCAGTGCGATGAAATGTAAAATAAACTGAGCAAATACCTCAAACTGTTAACACTACAAAAGTGGCCACTTACTTCGATTGGCAATTCAACAAGTTCAAACTTCTGCGTCAGTTCTGGAGATATGCCAGATGCCAGTGCAAACACCGCAAAACCAGAAAACAACAAACTGTAAAGCATGGGCTTGTTTTCCAACAGACTTTCCATAAACGGATGACCCTGAAAGACAAGAAACCAATGCCAAAAAATTCGCATTTGTGATAAAAGAAACCATTCATATCTAGAGAATTTTGTTTGCTTTATCACTTATCAAAAAATTTCATTGAAAACATTCGCCAGGTAGAGATCTACACCAACATATTCAATGCCTGTATATTTCATACGGCATCTGAAAGAATGTCCTCAAGACCATAAATCTATACTAACCCGATAGTTCACAGCGAATGTAGCCACCTGCAATGCTAATGCCATAAGATAAACTGCTGAATTAAGTAAATTTGGCTTGAACTCTGCTTCCAGATCGACTTTTTCACTATAAAAATTATACCAGCAGGAATGATACAACTTGCTATTCCACGCATTTATGACGTACATCACGGTACATATAATACAATAGTATAATCAAACAGCTTATGTTGAAAATCACTCACCGAGGATCTGCTGCTTGAGCTTCTCGTACAACGTATATCAAACAACCAAAGTGAACGGCAAACTGAAGAGATACCGTAAGAAGTGTATAGGCATTGAATATGTTTGGTGTAGGTCTCTGCCTGGCGAGTGTTTTGAGTGGCTGTAACGGCATAGAACCTCAAGGTGTGAAAGAGAAGGTGGAACAGTTACATACAATAAAATTCGTGAAAGAAGATTAAGAAATTTTTCATGAATCGAAATGTTACCTTCGATCTCGAGATGAATAAGAAGCATGCAGCAAGAAGTAGACCTTGAACAGTAGCCTGAGTGTCAGAAAACTTGATTCCATCCAAGTAAAGTACACTCTGACTGTACGCGAGCACTAAAGCGTTTAGAGCAAGAATTTTGAACATTTGCAACGTCGTAACCAAAGTACACCGTCCTTGTTTGATAACATGACATACTGCAACCAATTATCCAAAAAAAAATTCAATTAAAAATTAACCGTTATATTATTCTGCAAGCTTAAAAAGAGAAAACGCACTTGACTGTATGGATGTGTATTTCGAAGTAAATGGAGCTGCAACGGAAGCATCTCCAAGCCGAACAACTTGAACCTTTTCTTCATCTTTTAAATCCTTCATCATCTGCTCAAGCCGCCTGCTGGTAGTACTCGACATAGGATTATGTCTAACATAAAATATATTAAAATTACAAAATCACTTTGCAATGATTCAACAAAAATATTCGTGTAAGAAACAGGACGATGAATTTCCATAGTCTTAGGTTAAGTATACAATAAAAATTAAAAAAAAAAAAAAAAAAAAACCTGATTTGTCTCGCGCCAGCAGGCGCGTCCATCCTTCGTGCTGAGTGCTGTACCAAAGGTTTTTTTACAATGCTTAGTGAATTGCTTGAATTAGCATGCGAATTCGAAATAGGCTGACAGAGATAGTTTGAGGAAGAGTTTGCTTTATTTCCTTCTTCTTTCTTTCGTCTTTTCTCACCAACTTTTAAAGCATCATAAGGGTGAGAAAGTAATGCGACACCTGAACAAAAAAGTTCATATGAAAAAAAAAGAGACACAAAAGGCGAAAATTTACCATTTGCACATAAAAAACAAAATCCTGTCAGAAAAACTACATGGTCAGAACCACTAATCTTTAGTTGCAACAAGATTACAATAAAAATTTAATAAATAAATTCTAACCGACATCAGCATGTTTCAATGCACCAACGTCGTTTGTACCATCTCCACACATGAGTGTGATATAACCAAGTCCCTTAAGCTCATTTATAACCCGTTCCTGAATTTATAACAAGGTAGTCAGGTAAATATAGAAATAAGAATCCTTCCAGAATTTATACTTCTTGAAAAAGAATTTGTGTCCATGTGAAATCCACTAATGATTAAACAATTTTCTGCAAAACATTCGATTAAAATCGTACAGACAACAGCAATATGCTTGACCACAACTCATCGAAAAGCCCAAAACGTAGAAACCAATATAATGCATGTGAACATATTAGAACATGCCGTTTTGTTACCTTTTGCTTGGGTGCCATTCTGGCAAATATTTTTATGTGAGGGATAATGTACCGCAGAAACTGAGTATGTTTATTGAGAAGATACATAAAAGCCTGAAACATGGAGTGTATTTATATATTTCTAAAATCGAACTAAATATAGCCAGTTAAAAAATCGAAAAAATCGAAATAAATCGAAATCGAAATATCATTAAACTTTCAGTATCAAATATGGTTGGCCAGACACGCCCAGAAATAACCAATAGCTTTATGCTGAGATTATACTATTTACTCCAAAATTCAGCAGCGTTTCTGGACTAAATTTTAAACAATTCAATCAGCGCTAAAAAAAATGACAAAAATGACAAGACAATGGAACAAACCTGTCCAGTGATACAAAACTCATGCTCATTAATAAAAGGCACCATTTCAACACTTGGGCTTAGCAGCAAATTGAACTCGTTATCATCATTTACCGATTTCCATACCCACTTGTTATCACCTAAAAACCGTGCTGCTTATATATCGCGAAGAAAAGTAACAACAATAATTATTCTAGCTCATAAAAAGTGAAGTGTACCGCGTCCGACATTGCTCGCAGAACTTAATTAGGTATTAGCCTTTTAAGGAAGACGGAACAGTGCAAACCCGTAGATTTAAACTTGAGAGAACACCGAGCAGATAAATCTAAAGTTACTTCCCAGTACTGTTGTTCCCCGAGTCAAAAGGCAGCAAATTAATGAAATTCTGTTGCACTTGATAGGCTACAATGAATGTTTAAACCTTGAGGTTCGTATAAAATGAGAACAGGTGTTGACTTCCTCGTGAATCGAAGAACTTTAGCAACATGACAAGCAGTAAGAGGATTATCGCCAGTGATCATAACCACTCTGTGAGATGATTCCGCAATTTCTTTCACCATCGCTTTAGTGTCCGGTTTTAAAGGGCATGATATAACGACAAAACCAACAAATGTCAATTTTTGTTCGAAATCTTCTCGCTTTCGATCCCGTATCTAAAAAAGAAACATGTCAACTCAGATATATATGAACAGGAAAACGAGATCTTCTACTTAAATATATTTCAAATGATCAAAATTTAAAAACACAACATTTAATCTGCTGCATAATAAATGATGATCTGAAAATAAAACCAATAAGCAATTCCAAACATGTATACCTCTTGATAAGTTAATGATCCAACTTCCCGAATGCCCAAAGCAAGAACTCGCGCTCCTTGTCGTGCCAAGTGTCGGTATACCTGGATATAGTTCTCAGGGACTGTTTCATACTGCAAAAAGAACAAGCATCATCCCACAGGAACACAGAAAAGGAAATAACACAATAAATATAATGTTCTGGCTGAACAAAAAAACCCTTAATTTTGTATAAAATACAAACCATACTCTCCAGTGTTTCTGGAGCGCCCTTCACAGTTACAATATGTTTGGTTTCATTTGTCCCAGCTGCAACATAACCAGCAATCACCGTCATTCTTTTGAAGAATGAGGAGAAGTGATATCGATGAAAAATTTTGAGAGGCTGCATTTTGGATTTTCGTGGAATTACTGTATCATCTGAAATTTGAAACTGTAATTCAGTAACTGTACTATTATAAAAGCAATTCACTTGAGGGGATAAACTCGTAACCTTTGAAGCACTCCGCTCAAGATATCATATAGGTAACTATAACATATAAAGCATAAAATTACTTTTCGTTAAATTCCATTCGGCCCAACTAAGACAAGCCTTTTCTAATGGATCACCCACTAAATCCTCATCAAATCGCACTAAACTATGACATGTCACTAGCACTTGTACTGATTCTGGCGGAGCTTCAGATGGTAAACGATGAATATGGCATTCATCGTCCGAATACACACAATTCGCGGAAGCTACTCCTGCAAAAAGTTATTCTCATTAAAGTATATTCAGAAAACCATTAAAAGATGATGAAAAGTCCAAAAAAAATTTAAGTTCTGACGAACTGTATTCAAAACAAAAGGATTTAAACAGCTACAAATAATACGATTCAAACTAATTACCCTCAACAACTAAATTATCTGTTGTTAAGGTCCCTGTTTTATCAAAGCAGCATATATCGATTTTACCAGCAAATGGTATACGAAAAGGTTCTGTACAAAACACACCTAAAAAGAGCTAAACTGGAAAAGGCATTCGTAGTTTAATAAGCTGATACAAATCATAAAATCATTAGAGTTCACTCTTATCAAATTTAAAGAAAACACTACACAGCTCTGTGATACTCTTACTCAATAAAACAATTCTAGTTTATACCGCACGAAAAATGAACTTTACCAAGCTTCTGCAGTGCCATCAGTGAATTGTTCACAGCCAGTGACAATTCTATAGGTAACTCAGGAGGAATTACGCTAGTGAGAATCAATGAACATTCCAGAAATAACTTGTATTTACTACGTGATTCATCTTCGCTTCCTAAAACAAAAAGTTTACCAAAAATCTTTACTGCAAAGAACAAGTCAAAGCAACCAAGATCATGAACTACACAACGAAATCAAAATAGATTTCAATACCTTTAATCCATAAATAAGAAGCTGCAGCAATAGCGAAAACTAGCAGAAATAATATAAATGCAAAGGTTTCGATATTATTTGCAGTCACTCGCTTCACGCCAAACATAATTGTACGTAACAACTTCCCCTGACTAGTATTAAATCCTGTTCGTAGAACGTAGCAAATACATCCACCGTCCGGTGCTTTCATGCCGGCTTCATTTTTCGCTTAAATAATGTTAACATACTCAGAAGTTTTTGCAACAATAAATCCTAACTTAGACATTTTGTAAACGAATATATACTTTCACAGCAAGTTAATGAAACAAACGAAGAAACTGTTAATGATGCCCTTGCTCCGACTACTGCTTATCAAAGCTTAATGAAGAAGTTAACATCCCGACATGTAGAACTCGTGTAAGTTAAGCCAAACTTCTGAGGATAGACGAAGCAACATTTGAGGACATATACAACAACGCAAACTCACCAGGTGAAGTGTGTTGAACAACTTTTGTGCCACCGAATATGACATGTAAACGACTATCCGTTTCGATATTAAAATAATGCGATTTTTCAATATCTTCTATTGGTTCCTGCAATTACGTTTTAAAAAGAAACACGATCTCTGAAGGTTACAATGATTTCACTGAATGTACTTCAAATGCAATTAGACGGATAAAAAAAGATCTGACTTTCATTTGCGGCACACTTTCGCCGGTAAGCATGGATTCATCAACGATGCAAGGACCTCTTAACAATAACAGGTCGCATGGAACTGCTTTTTCATCCGGTGAGCGACCTATAAGTACACCCATCAGAATTTTAAGAACGAATCTGATTAATTTTTCTAAGACATTAGAAACGTGCTGAAATAAAACAATGATAAAGGCTAACAGTATTATAAATTTTTTAGCGGTTATGGGTATAAAACATACTTATAGAAACGATATCGCCAGGAAGTAGTTCATCACTTTTTATACGGCTCCAGCGTTTATTTCTGTATACATTAATGAGATACGGTTTATTACCCATATTACGAATTTCAGACATGTTTTTTAGCTGCTGCTTAACAAGAGTCGCTTCAAAAGTCATAAGCATCACTAGTGTGAATAACGAATAATACCACATATCTTCCAAACACCACAACCCAACACAAAAAACCTGTAACTTGAAGACCATGGTGAAATAAATTCAAACAATACGTCCTTTTAACATATTCGGCCTATTCAAGAAGTCAACCGCAACAAACAATGTAAATCGAACACGGCAGTAAAGCACAGTCTAGACTAAATTTCACACTATTTTGCCAAGTTTTGGAGCATATCTTTTACGAACAAGGATCAGTAAAGCTAATATTGTTGTCAGATCTAGAAATATGTTCAAGCGAGGCGACTCCTTTATATAAAAGTTATATGCGTGTGACAGTACACATGGGAGTATATATAATATTAATAATTTTCAATGAAGTTAATATGTTGATTCTTTTTCTTTTTCTCCAGCTTAACAGAGCTAGAAATAATAATATAGTCAAATGAAACCCACGAAGGATCTAAAAAACAATACCTGAAACACAAAAAACGGTGCCGTAGCTCGTTCCTTGAAAAGGTCCATGAACTGAGGAATAATCATTTCCATTCTTAAAATTAAAGTTTTTATACAACATCGATTAATAAAACAAATGCCAAAATCGTAAAGACATGATCATGAAAAAATTACATAATGAATTCACCTGTTGTCCCCTAAATCTTGTTTTCTTTCCAAAATCGCTTCATCTGTTTCAAGTCCTCGTGACTCGTGAAAATAAGACATCGGCTGATTTGTGTCCAGTTCCAAGGCCAAAAAAGTCTTCCTTTCCAAAACAAATGTGTAATGCACCTTTTGAAATTCAAACCACAATTTTATTTTTCCATTTATTAGCTAAAAATGATTTCTGTAATTCGAAATTGCATGCAAACAACATAAGTTTCTTCCTTCAGGCAATTTTTGAATATAATCCACTCCTGTGAGTTCCGCTCTTGTCCAGTATGCTTCATTAGATTGAAATTTTTCCTTCCAAATGTACATAATGCACGAGTCATAAGACCACAAGAAATTAATAATACTGCTATTATTACTTAGCTCTACTTATTTCTACATTGAAAAACCATATATTTATTGCTCTTAATCAATTTTATTACACCCTGGAAACTCATTATCAAAGAGTTTCATTTGCTGCTTGATAAAAACTTTCGGATCTTCAGAATTAAGTTAGAAATTAACGTACATCCCAATTCCCCCTCTATCACACTTCATTTAAGCAATTTTAATAACGACCAAAGTCTTGCTTTAAGTCTCTTGCAGTACCACAATCTTCAAAACAAGTTTTTTATGAACAAAACAACTGGGAACATACTTTAGTCCTACGCAAAGGAACCACTTCTGCCCATCCATTGTTTGGAGTTGGAACTACTTTCACAACTGTAGCTTTCTCAACGTTGGACTCCTGAAAAACTGACATTAGTTCTAATTTCAGCATTTCACAAAATTTAAGCTCACTTTCTGGATTACATATGATAGAAAAAAGCAGATATGCTGATAAAACAAACATATTACATATGAACAAGTCAGCAAGCAATGAACACTGACGAACCAGTTGCAAAATAATACAGTCAAAATCTGAAACAAAGAAAACTTAGCCAACATTTTCATAAATTGATTCAAGTTTTTAAATCATACGGAAACAAAATTAACTGATCTTGATGTTTTAAGCAAAGAATAAAATAGCGACACGAATCACTCAAACATACCTGCAAAATACCAATAGCAGCCATGATGATGCATCCTAATTCCCAACACTCGTTCACTCCATAAATACTAAACCATAAATAAGCCCATCCTACATACAAGAAAATAAATGGTCCAACATATGCGTGCGCAATTATCGGCTTCACTGTATATGGGACGTACGACTCAATAAGTTGGTCAATGGCCATTTTCACTATACTGCTTTTTAATTCAGTTGAATCTGGAAAGAGGGACAAATTCTAACATTTAGGAAACTCATCTTCCGAAACAGTCACAGTCAATTCAGAAACATGGGAAAAGCAAGATTAATTCATTTCATTCATTATGGATATGGGAAAAACAAGATTAATTCATTTTCATTCATTATGGATGGTAACCTAACTTAGTTGGACCTAACCTTTAAAAAACTTGGTAGCTCCTTTAAGACCTTCAGAGTTTACTATCACACCACTGCAGAATGTCATCCTATGAACGCTTATATGTTTTGAAGCTCTAACTTTACTTCATTCATTAGGCAGGACATTCAAAAGAAACGACTTAAAATTAGGAAGAACTTCAACCCGTTCAAATCTAAGAATCTCGGAGTCGAGCCGATAAGGAAAATGTCTCCCCATTACCATTACCTATCCTCCATATTCCAGTCAGCTTCCATTATCTACGAATGGTAACGCTGTGCAATATTGTTCGATGATGCCGTCCTCCGAATTTCCCAGCCCTGAGTGGTAGTTTTCAAGCAGATTAGTTACTGCTACCATGCAGGGGCCTGTCGTTTAGTTCGCTGAAGGACAAAAACATTAAGATAACACGGGAAAATAAGCTAACTTTCTGGCATGTGTCCTGAAGTCCCATGTGTTATATTTTAAACTATGTCATTTAAACATCAAATAATGCGATTTACATTTAGCGAACATCAAACTTTTAATAGAAACTAAAAGTATTTGCATAAATGAAATCAAACTGACAGTGAGATTAATGGATATCAATTCAGCAACTTTTCAATTTTACCAAAAAAGATTTAAGTGACAACAAAATGAGTAAATGATGAACGACAGAGCATACGTGACAGTAAAATGGGCAATGATGAACGGTAGAGCAATATGGACGATATTGAAGAAAGGTGGATAATGTAAGAAAGATGGAACTAATAGAATATAGGATTAATGTTTAAATTGTTAGCTAAAGACGATATGGGAAACCAATAGAAATTCACTTAACAACATTAATTTCATACAATTCGTGAATATTTCGGAGTCGAGAAAGTTTTCAATTTGAGTAGTTTGTTGTTTCGCAGACAAAGATTTGTTGTAAAGGCTTATTCTCTATGGAAGATGAGTTTTATTCTTCCTGACGTTATAAGACGATAATCAGAAAGTATCATGGAGTCAAGTCACCATTTAGTAGCACTGAAGACCGTCCGTAGTACTGGCACAAACGACACTCTTTCTATTGTAGATAATGATAATACTGCCGCATCGAATTGAGGCACACTATTTATAGCTCTTTTGGAGACAAAGAAAGCTAAGCGATTAAAGGATGCTTAACATTTGCAACTACTTAACAAACATAAGACATTATTACGTCCTTTAGACACAAAAAAAGCTAAATGAACGAATGAATGAAGAATTAGCTTAACATTTGAAACGCATTGATGAGTAATCTTACGGTATGAAGTGGATAAACGATAAAATTAGAAATATTTTCTAGAATGAAAGCATTTTGAATGTTTAGATGCAAAAATGGTTTCATAAGATTATTTCGGTTTTTCCGGTTATGTTGGACGGCCCTTTATTATCTCTTTCGACTTACTAAGGGTAGCATCAGTGTGATATTACCATTAGAAAGATCGATAACTGAATATCACAGCGGCTATGAAACAAATCTTACCAATTTACATAAGGTTGCTTGACAGCTTCATGAAAAAACTGTTTCGAAATCGTGTAGGAGGATGTGGTCTCATCAAAATCCCTTTTTTATTAACATTCTTTAGTTTGCTCCTGGAATTCTCAAGAGTTTTCTAGCTCCTTGTTTACAAAATTTGAATAAATTGTGAAACATTTGGTCTTGAAATCTAAACTCCAAAAGACAGAAATTTGAGTCAAAAATTTGAGTTTTTGAAAGTTCAAGAGTCACTTTCTTCCCTGTTATGTAATGAGCTAGTGTTAATTTAAACCACTGAGTAACCCCAAGCATACATCGGAAATCAATGAAGGAAGCACTGACTACTTAATAAAATATTAAATAAGACAGTGCAACCGTACTCTCGAAAATAAATGCCCTGACCACATTTTTCCTGACAACTGAGCAAACCTGCCTCAATTTTTCTAGAATAAGGATTTCAAAAGCCGAAGAATTTTTCGTGTTAGCAAGACGTAACGGTTGACATAGGTCAAAAGCTGTACAATGCACATAGAAAAATATAATAATCTAAATAAATCCGGCGAAACGGATGTTACGCTTTCCCTCATAATATCAACCGTTACTGTTAGAAGTTGCTAACGGATCAAATGACCCAATGGAACAGTTTCTACTTTGTCGCCTTCTTACCTTCACGTATTAATTACTTCAAGACCATTTAATGCAGTTTATTTTATGGAGACATTCACGATTATGTCTGATGAAGAACAGTGTGTCGACTTTGCAGCCATAAGTCTTTCTCGGTCACTCCCACTATCATTGGTTTTTGATGACCAAAGAAAGCAATCTGCTTGATGTGTCACATTGCTATGCACAAATACACCCCTGCGAGTGCTACACGCACACACGCACACATACACACACATACACTATAACACACACATGCATACATACATACACACTGCTTAGATGTGTATATGCATACAGATACACAGACACGCATATACGCGCAAATGCGGGGATCGCGATGTTGTCGTACTGTGGCTAAGAGCAGTAATGATGCCAGCAATACACACCCTCTCGGCTTTTCACATCTGTTCTAGATACATGTATGTTGTGTGTGTATGTGTATGCATTTATGTACATATGTGCATGTATGTGTATGGTGTATATGTATGTACGTATATATGTATGTATGTATGCGTGTGTGTGTGTGTGAATGAGTATCGATTGGTCGCTGTCAGATGCTGTAGCCACTGGTGGGGAGCAAGGACGCGTGGAAGTTTGTTTGTGGGTGCGGACCGGTAGGAGACAGGTGGATCAGCCCGCCTTTATTATGGGGAATGCTTACCTTGCAAACGTCTTTATTTCACCGGTTATGTGTGAGGGGGACATTGAGAATTCTTTTCAGGAATAGTGTATTACAAGCTAAATTGCTTGTGATGAGGACATGTTACTCCTATGGAATACCGTTAGTTCCTTAATCAGAAGATTTATCAGATGGGGGAATTTCTGGTGATTTGAATTATTATTATTATTTATTATTTATTTGTTTATTTACTTATTATTGTTTGTTATTATTATTTATTGTTGTTATTATTTACTATTTGTTATTATTTATTGTTATTATTTATTATTATTGTTTATAATCATTATTATTTTTTATTACTATTTATTATTACTATTTATTGTTTATTATTTTCTTTGCGGCACTTAGAAAATTTAAAAAATTTATGAATGTACAGTGAAGCTTAGTCTAAATTCTATCATATGTCAGCTACGTATATAAGGTAATTAGAGACAAGTCTTTGATGAAATTAAACAGTTTCTTTTTGTTTAAATGAACAGTAAAATTGAAAGTTTCATATATTTAATAGAGTACATGATCCACAATATCATCATGTACTCTAATTAGATTTTCCTTCTGAGAGCTGTTATATTGCTGAGGACCTTGAGCGGTGCACTGAGATCTGCAGACCAAATTTGATTATCAAAATTGGTTCACACTTTTGAGTAAATCAAAGACAAGTCTGCAGAAAAAAAGCACTCCTAGTTATGGAGTTAAGTGTCATTAGCTGCCTATCTTTCAAGAAAAATGGGACTCTTAATTTGGTTATCGTAAGACATTTATTGTTTTATGGATGTAATGTTTCACATCATCACCATATGCCGAATCTCATATAATGTGAATAGTGTAATTTTTTTTGTAATTGAATGATACTTAATTTCGTAATGCAGCTTTAAAATCGAATTAGTTTGCTGAATTCCCATCACGTCTGTTTTTTATAGCTTCTGCTTATCTACTATAGCATTTGAAAACCAGGTTGCAAATCGTTTGCTTATAAAATAAAAAGATTAACATGCGTTGCAGGTCAACAATGTTCGTTTTTGGGTGTGCTTTCGTCACGAGCTGCTAGATTATTTTAGGTTATTTTTACTGGTATTTAATCTAATGAAGTCAGCAGATGTAGTAACTCTAAACAAGTCCATGGCAATAAATATTTCTAGATCCAATGTTGACAAATTCCATAAACAATATTTAAAAACTCGTCAACATTGTATGCGTTAGACAAGTAACATTATTGTCAGGGTTGAAGCGAAATTGTTGAAGTAGTCCTTATGAAAGAGATGGGAAGACTAAAATTAATGAGAACCAGCTACGTGGAACTGTATGAATCCAAGACGGTCCTGACAGATCAATTGGAAATTCAGTAATATAGAACCTATTTTGTTTATAACCGAATAATTGAAAGGGAAACTGTGAGTTACCTCCTCCGTGTGCTGTTTTGATGTTTGTGACACTGTTATGAATTATGGTAAACTTCGTATGCAGTTCGAAGAGCAGTCGTATGGTGGCCTCAATGCCTTCCGCACTGTCTACAAGGTCATTTGAATGCGATTGGTATAAGGCAGCTCTTCCACCTGTAATTTGACATACATGATTTCTCTGTTAGCACTTAATGCGACGGGTATGACAAAAACTTTTCTTATGCTTTTGAGTGGATCAGGTACATTTGAAATGTGTTCATTTATGTATACATGATCAAATGTAATCGGAAAGTTGAGCTTTGTATTTCAAGTTTGAAACGGCCGTGCCACCGAAAACTTCCATTGTGAAGGTCCTGCATAGTTGTTTAGTATTCACCAAAATATCGCTGTCGTATTTTGGGGTATATTTTCTCGAATCACCGGCAAGCGTAAACAAAACTATTATGATGCGATTCACTATTTTCTTCACCCTTTCTAAGTCCGCTTATTGTTTTGTTATTTTCCAGGAAGAAGAGGTCAGTTCAGCAACAATGATTGTTTAAATAAATAAAATGGAGCAAGGGGAAGTGTTTGTTGTGGATGAGCAGGTCCATTCCTTAAATATTTCATGATCTTTCAGATGTATTTAAAGCCTGCATGGGAGGAGAAGGTCCAGGGAAGAGGGCGACAACTAATCTGGCATGTTTTTGTCCTTGAAAATTGTTCCCTTAGGAGTGTTGAGGCTCACTATCTCTAAAAGTTCTAGGCCTGGTTGATGGCTTGGAACCTTTATAGTCTCCAACTTTTCAAGGACAACAGACATTTTTGATGGTTTCAGGAAGGAGAATTAGATCCTAATGACGCATGGTTGATGCGCGCAGCAGGTGGTGAGGAGGAGGTTGGTGCAAATGAGCTTCCGATGGGAGCGGTTGCTGCTGCCCAAGATGATGACCAGTTATCCTTTGAGGTCGCATATTTGTTGTATTGTTGCACCGTTTTTCGAGATACGACTAAAATTTCCCTTTCATGTAGTGGAGTGCGTTCATCAGTGATGGTCAATATTTATAACAATTCTACAATAATCTTTTGCTAGTTAGGCTTAGTGGTTCCAACTTGCTTATCTTTATCGGTCAATCTGCGTAGTGTCTTCTTGATTTCCTTCAATCATTCAGGATTATGTTTCGCCTTGATATTGCTCATTTTCCACTCCTACATCACTATCGAGTGCAATTCGAATTTTTTGAGAACATTTGGGACGTTCTTAATAAAGTATAAGGTTCCAATAGGTTGTTCTGAGATCTTTTTATTCTCCCCGATATTTGCTTGTGTGCAGAAATTTGGAATTATTTAGTACATTTCAATAGCTTTGAAATGTTGAGGAACTATTTACAATATTGTTCAGGATTCGGAACGCTTTGAAGAAGATTCCCTTTGTTCGTGGATGTCAGATGCTGAATCGTTAAATCAGAATTGGCGTGGATGGAGCACGACGAGGAATTCAACAGCGCAGAATGGAATCGGTGAGATTTTGTAGTAAGGTGTATAGTAAGTTCGATAGTCAGTGCACAAAGACTTCAAGATTTAGAAAATCGTGATTTTTAGAACAGACATATGGAGATGGATCAGGTCCACTATTATCAAGTTCGTTGTTACGCTTTACTGGAGGTATCACATCACCATCACAGTCTCGTCGGCATCCTATATCTGCTTCAGCAACTACAACAAACTTGGGCTCTTCCGCCCCAACAACGAGTATTAATGTGAATGCAACAAGTTAGTACTGTTGAAATATCCATGAGTTTCTAAACAAAAAAAAGAAGGAAAACAGAGTACAGCTAAATTTTTTCATTCTCTTACTGCAGCTATCATTCGTAGATATATATGTGAAGTTCAAACTTTTGCAGCATGTAAGGTACGGAGCCTTGCCGAAATAGCTGCTCGCGTTGCTGCACGATGTTTCTCATTTATAATGTTGGAGGCGTATTATCACGCGATCTCAGTTGAAAAGAGGCGGATAAACTTCAAAAGTGGTATGAATGATCGTTCCGTTATATTTGAAGATGCTTTCGCGGAACATGCTGCAATTCCTGACAAATTTTTCTTGAGCATTGTGCGCTGGTGCTTCCCTGAAAGCGAAGAAGATGTCCGTTTATACAGGTAATGGATTTCGATTCCAATGATTGCAATTTATGGGAAAATTGTAGGAAACATTGCATTACTTTTTTACATAGTTGTGGAGGAAACATTGAAATATGAGTTTCAGCCATTAAATTTTGTCATTGGCATTTCATAACTTATTTTATCGTTAATTTATTGTTTTAGCTGTTTGGCAAATGGCAATGCTGATGAGTTTGACAGAGGGGAGTATTTATATCAAGCAAATGCGGTTCATGAAGTTTTCCAAATAGGTATGTTGAACGCTTTCTTAGATCTCCTGTAGCAAACTGAATAGGACTGTTTCACTCGCTTATGAAGTATCAGTTTTAACATTTTGCTGTGCATTAGAATTTTGGTTTTAAATGAAAGAAATAAATAATTAAATAAGAAATAAATAATCGAGTTGTGGAATAATTTCGTGTTGGATGATGGACTCAATTATTTGCATGGATCTTTGTGTCGATCGCAATCATTGATACCGATATGGAACTACGCGATTAGAATAGAAATATTTGGTCTTTCAGTTGTTCACGGCTTCTGCTGATTTGGAAAATTTGAGGTTTATGTGAATTGCACAACCTATCTGTTGCTTGTAGGTTATCATATTTCCGCTGTAGTGAATGCAACTGGCGCATCTTCTATAGTTACTCCAACAAGTTCATCAGCCCCACCTTGTCGCACGAAGATGACGTACAATGTATCAGTTCGGGTTGACAGGTCTGTTTTTCAATTTATTTTAACTTTGGGTTAAGTCTAGTTGTGTTCCAGTGAACATCATTTTATGATGTTACGAAGTATTTCCCACAATAAAATTATAAGTAACTGCAAAGTATTTTTGTACAATGCTCATCTCGTTTGTAAAACTGCACGTTATGTTTTCTTTTTAAGGTGTCGCATAGTATCATGTAGCTGCTCATGCGCTTTCAAGGCATCGTGGTGCCAACATGTTGTCGCTGTATGTTTGTATAGAATAAATAGAGTGAACGAAGTCGAGTATCGTGTTACTATTTGGGATTCAATCAATGAGCTTACAAATGAAGAATTAAAAAAATTGGCCCAATTTCTTATAAATGATCTTCCTCGACAGGTTTGTTTACTGTGAAAAATATTTATAAAATAATTCTTTCTCTCAAACTGGTATTGTTGAAAGCTGTGTCCACTTTTAGTAATATTGTTTTAGTAACACTGTATAGATTTGTAAAATTTAAGTATTTGCCTGTGGCACAGCGTTTGATCGACCAACTACGGAATCCAAAATCTGAAATAAACGCAGCAGTTGGAGCACCAGATCCAACGGATGGGGGTCATGATAATGTCGCCATTTGGTGCTTAGATCAGCGTACACTGCACGAAAACATCCGTCGCATATTGATCAAATTTTGTCTTCCCTCACCGACAGTGCATTGGTATATTCTTTCAAAATAAAATTACACTACATCAAAAATAAAGTGTGAGAAGATTGAAATATTTTTTATTGAAGTTCACACTCCTAACGTTTGATTCAAGAATATTATTTTTATAGTGATGTGCAGTATTTATCGTCCAATCAGCCACCTGCAGCTAGTGAGTGGTTGTCCCTTTTTCGACCTCACAGGGCAAAAGAGCCAGAAGGTATGCTACTGACAATTGCTTGTATTGCAGGATGCTTGTAACACTATTAATTTTGTTTTAAAGGTTTATGGAATCTTTTATCAATTGTACGCGAGATGTTCAAACGTCGTGATGAAAATGCAACCAGTCTTCTACATATTATTACTGAAGAATGCTTAGCTTGTTCACAGGTTTATGTATTCCATGGTTTACTTAATATCACTCGTTGTATTCTTATGACTGATCATATCCGTATAATCTGTATCCTTATAACCAGATTGTGTGTAGAGTCTCGAAACCAAAGATCTTTATGTCGTACGTCTCATCGACTTTTTAAACCCGATATAAAATCTGCAATTGGAAGTTTGGAAAAAAAGTATGATCTCCGAAAAATATACAAAAGTGTGTTGCATAATTTTTAAAGACGTTCGGTTGAATAAAAGCGTCAAAACGCTTGGTTCTTCTATAAATCGCTGCGAACATTACCAGAGATGATATGATCCAGGACAGGATAACGAGAGATTTATTGGTTTAATACTATTTTAGAGTGACAGAATTTTGGATATATATTTTGATGTAATAAAAATGAATTGGTTTCGACGTTTTTTTGGAGGTACAAATTTTTTGATATTTAGGTCTTGATTTGGTGGTATCAAACCGCTTTGTCTCAGTCCGGGCAGTGGACACTTAGCCCGCCTTCTACCAATAAATCATGTTCATTAATGTCAAATCAGAAGACGCCTCAGCTGAACTGTGCCTCACTTTGTGATGAAATAGTACAACTATGGAGGCTCGCTGCTTTGAATCCACGTTTATCATCGTTTGAAAGGGAACAAGTATGTAAGGCCATAAATGGAATTTTTTTTTGGTAACTCATTTTCCTGGTAACATTTGTATGTAAATCCACACATACGTATGTATGTATTTTTTTAGTTGACTAGTTTCATACAAATATATCATCGGAATGCTGTGGAGAGGATATGGAAATATATTTGTTTTCTAGCGAATCCTGAAGCTTCAGTATCTTCAGTAAGTTAATTTCGTCAACTATTTAAATACCGTTCTTTTCTTTCTACGGCTTCTAATTCATTTAATTCTTTATGTTAGTATTGATGTTTCATCTGTCAAATTTAGATATTAATTTGGTCATTTTCAAGCAGGCCACCAGTTTCATTATGTCAGTTGTTGATCGACACGGACAACGACTGTCCGCAGAAAATGCCCGTTTCAGTGCTGATTTGTTTCCGGGATTTCTAAGTGCTTTGAGGGCATGCCAGATTAGTTGGAATAACACTAATATACAAGGACTATTGTTTGGATCGAATAACGTAAATTATTTTAATGATTGTTTATGACAACCTCTGTAAAAGTTCAGAAGTTATTAATGTTTGGCTGACATGGTGATCGATAGTTCTTCCGAGTTTTCTTAAGTCTGACGTTTTCTGACAACCCGTGTGAAAATGTTGTTGAAGTTTCAGAATCTCTCAAGCGCTTATTCAACTACTGACTTTTCAAATATGAAGTTCAGTCCAAATATTCCTGTTCTTCGTCATCCCTTACGGGTTTCTGAAGACACCTCTTTATTAGATATTAGCACATCATTTTACCGCACATCAGTATATGCAACTGGGACAAACTACTTTTCACTTCATCAACAGGTTATGCTTAACCCTTCACGTGCTGTAAATAGACGATAATTTTTGATATCGCGTTCAAACTAGACTTATTTTTGTCTTGATTACGATACAAGTTAATAATTGAAGGCTTCACGTAAAAGACGAAAAAAGTCATCTCGCATTTCTGGACGTCGTGGACATCAGTTTGAATTTCATGATGAGCGATCTCTAATCCGTGCTGTGCGCGTCGCTGCTTGTGCTGCACGTGAAGTGGCCTTAAGTGAAGATATCGAAGAAGATAGCGCTGAGTCGGGACAGGAAAGTGAAGCAGGTCCATCGATGTCAAGAAATAACAGTCGGACAAACAGTTCAACAAATCGTAATGAATCCGCTGCCACATTAAGGTTCTTGTTGATGATATGAGCAGAATTTTTTTGTATTCACTAGTGATTTGGTGCTTCTGTCTAGTTTTTTAATCTTAAAAAGGCATTTTTACAAAATAAGTATGGACAGTCTATTACAGGAGACAAGATGACGTGAATGTCGGGTAGTCCAGAACTGGGAGTATTATTTGTTTTTCATTTTCGAACTGAAAATTCAACATTGCGTGCAGAGATATGGAGTTGAAATGAGTTCAATCAACTAATTTTGATTTCTTCAGCAGTACAAACTATCCAAAGAGTGATGTTGACGAATTATTTGCTATTGCACATGTACAGCAATCAAATTGGGACATCAAGTTCGCCAGATGCGAAGCTCTAATGTCTCATGGCTATGCACATCAGGCATGTGTAATGGCAGTGGAGCTTGCGGAAGAAATGTTACGCCGTCCCCCAAATTTACTTTATCATTCAGTGGAGCAACGATATTATCCAGAATTATCTCCAGTTAGTGTTTGAAATTGGAACTTTACATTTACCAACTTTTGTAACTTAATTTCTATTACTTGTCTCATATTGTCTTAACTTTAATTTTAAAATGTTACTTTCGATTGACCATTGTTATTGCAGATACAGCGGCATAGGAGAAGGCGATTTTCTCAGTCGGGTGCTCCTACTCCTTCTATCTTAGAAGCCCCTCTTTTTGAACTTGATGAACAACTTATTGAAAAATCGCAATTAGCAGAGGATATATATACAAGGTGAATCAAAATTCGTTTTATCCGCAATTTTCCTAATATTTTACTAATTCAACATGTAAAAGACTAAGACGCTTTTAGAACACTCTTTCTGGTACATACATTAATGAAGGAGCCAAAAACACATCGATTGGCCTTCACACTTGCAATATCTGTACTTGAATTACCTCGCAGTCCTGCTGCAAACAAATTCCTGGAAGTCAAACTCTACTACTTGGTATGACTTTTCATTTTTTATGGTACTAGCTTACTTATTATTTGAGAAATATGAAATATCTCACTCAGTAATAGAATGTGTCATTAAAAATTGCTCATTATACTAGCTGTAGAAATATAATTTATGGTGATCTTGTTAAGGAAACAGAGCTGGTTAGCTTGTTGCGAAGAGTAGAAATCGGTGCTGCGGAATTGCAAATAATCAGAGATCGAGCGAGGAAATTCGTGGAAAATGCTATACTTTTAGCCTCTGTACCTCAGCCCTCCGTTTTACCTATTTCATTGGGCCATTATATCTTAGACTCTTTGTCATTCTCTCACAATACTTGTCAAGGGTGGGTTTCCTGTTTTCTTGTGAGTAATTGTTTTGTCTTAAAATGTCCGTCCATACTTCTTTACTCGCTCTTCTCTACTCTTAATCCCAAAGTAAGATTTAATTTGTAGGCGCCGCACTGCAAGCGGCATTGTGACAAAAAATGGTGTACAGCGGCGCCCTTGTGATGAAGAATTAGCTATAAAAGTCGCTTTAGAAGCATTGGGCATGAAATTAGTAGTTTCCGAAGCAGATTACCCTATGCTCTGTGAAAGCACACGACTACAGCGTGGTGATTTGGCGCTCACAATGCTACTAAGGTTAACCTCCAAAATTCTCTGTGTATTTTGACAAATCTTATATTTTATTAAATATCTAGAAAAGGTAAGTTAGTTAAGGGATGTGGGGAATTCTTTTCCCAAGGAAAGAGATAAGAAGACATACAAAAGAAAATTCAAAGCACTGTCATAATGGAAGCCTTGGTCGTGATCGTAAGACGTGTGTTTAGAGCAATTATTTTCCCCAACAGTTCTCTACAGGTTGATTCATTTGTATAGAGAAGTCACTGTTATATTATTTGTAGGTACAAAGACAGTAATGATAAACTGGCTTTAGTACTGGACAAGTTGTTGGATCCAACTATGCATCGCATGTACAGGTAGGTTTACTATTGTTACTTTCGTCTTTTTCGTTTCATTCGAAAGATATTAATAAAATTTAGCAGATTTGCCTGGCACTGAAAATGGTTGATATATCATTTTCAGTCGCAGATAACTCATTCATTTTCTTCCAGAGATCATCATTCCAACGCTGCATTTTTCTTGGAGCAAGATCCACTGTACAAAAAATATTTCAATGGTCAGCGGCCGCATTTTCCTTTCAAGGATGAATTTCGTCATAACGAATTCAATGAGATATCAAATGGTATTGAAGCATAGAAGTTTCTCTTCTTGATTTGATTTATAATAGGTTCGGCGCTCTGCCCAAAATACAAATTCGAATGAAAAGAGATTGACGGTCGCAGTATGGACTTTTTTACATTTCGGTATGTTAATTGTTTTGCTGTAGTTAATTTAATAAAATTTGGCAGGTTTGCCTGGCATTGAAACAAGTATTATGATTGCTGAAAGTGCGCACGAAAAAAGGTTAATATATTCTGCACCAAGTAGTGGCAAAGATGAAGCTGACCAGCTTATTAGTGGTTTCACTCGTTTATCTCACGAGTCACCGTAAGTTTACAGACTTTATTTTGGGTACTTTTCAGTTCCCAGGTTACGGGCTGTGCTTTTCTCCAATGATGGAAAAAGTTCTATGTTACTGAGATGACGAAAAGTATAAAGTTCAATATGTTAACTGTCATTCCTTATGAATGATATTCGATATCAGAAGAAATAATAATAGTGCAAATGATGCAAATGATTATTGGTTTTCCAATAGAAGAGTGATGAAGTAACATTTGCTTTTATGGAGTGTATTATGTCTTATGTAACATTAAGCTAAAGACTTAAGACGGCACTTGAGAAGCGAAATCAGTTTATTTTTAATGTATTAAATGGGAATGATATGTGAATTATTTGGGATATATATAACAATTTGCATTTCAAGTGCCACTGTTATTTTTTTTTAGCGATGATTCATCGTCAGTAGCATCTGCGAGTAGGCGACGATCATCGGATGAGAGTAACGACAGTCCATATGACGAAAGTGGCAGCTCAGGGTTTTCAAGATGTTTTCTGCGTGATGCATTACATGTAGGTTGTTGAACGTTTTTTTAATTTTGGTTGTTTTAAACAGCAAAAGGAAATATTAGCAAGTAATTGAGTAATTGCGCTGTTTCCTTTTTTTTGTTTGCTTACATTTAGCTATTAGTCTTATTACGTACTGTTGTCAAGTGTGAAGTACAGAAATAATTTCACCAATTGTTAACTCAGGTTCTAATGATCCAATTTTTTCTTTTTTGCATTGTTTCATATAATGGAGATATATCCTGCATGTAAAGAATGCTAACTTTTCAGGAAAGTCATTCAACGTCCATGGGTACAGCGGATCCACCATCACCAGCCTATCGTCTTTCAAATATTCTAACTGTTGATAGTTCAAGTGAATTCCCTTCATCACCTGCAGGCCACCCAGTAGAGTTGAATAATATATTTTATCGACATAACAGGTAGATTCCTCAATCCGTTGTGCTTTGACACATTTGTAGTTAGCACAACAGTTCGGTTAAGACTAAGCGTCACTTCCATTTATTGGCTGTTGAACAAAACAGTTATCTATGTCTAGTTATTCGATATTATTTTCAGCTTTATAAATCTTTGCAAAAATTTGAGCTTATTTTTTGCTCTAATGAAACTCGTGCTGTAGGTGTAGGATTCATTCGAGACATCCAGTGTTAGGAGAGCAAATGAAGATTCTATTTAATTTTCGGCACTGATATAAGTTTATACTAGAATAGCGACATTCATTTATGAAGCAACTTTCTGAAGTTGTGGTCCTTACTATAATTACTCGATTACAGAATAAAAAAAAATAACCCACGAACACCTATATATGCAGTTTGTTCAGTTTGTTGTACTTTATTTGTAGACGAAAGCCAATTCCCAGTTTGCCGAACCAAGCTTCAGAAGGACAGGCTCACTGCATGATGGAACTTGCAAAACGTCTTCTTCTTGAAGCGGGTGGTAGTCAGAGTACAGTTATTTTTAATGCCTCACAAGGCAGTCAAAACAATCCACAGCGCAGTGGTATTTTTTTTTTTTAATTATATACTGATTTATTCCAAGTTTCCACTGACTATCACAAAAAATTCCCAATTTTCACAGGTCCCCACCGACAACTGCATATTTGTTCATTTCTAATTGGACTCTATGCTTTGGGCTTGAACAACTTGTTATCAGCAAGTTGGCAAACTCGAACTTACAGCACCAATGTTAGTTGGATACATGGTCATGCGACCGAAGTACATAAGCTTATAATTGTATTCCGCGCAAGGCAAAATACCTGAGTACAACGCGAGTATAACAGATATCCAAATGCTTGATCATTTTCAGATGAAATT